CGACACAATCGTTTTTATCTTCGGTTTCAATCTTCGACCACAAGGAACGAAACATTCGGCGAGTTATCCACGTTTGCATCGCGCTGCCGTCATTGTTCGCCGTTCCTTTTTATCGGAATGTTTCTCACGCAGAGATAAATTGATTCGTACGTTTGCCAGTGGGTGTAATTTATACGCGGTCGTAGCTCGAGTCAGAATCGAAATTAGAATCGGATTCGATTTCATCGACATGAAAACGTCTAAGAAACAAACAGTCTTTGTCCATTGGGACGGAATCGAGAGAATAGTACTATAGGCCAGAAAAGTGAGGTTATGAAACATGCCGGCTGGCATTTAGTCGGGTTAGTGTTCTTGTGAATGCTCCTGTAATTTATTCTACAGTCGAGAGAGCTGCGTGCCCTGCCTGTGAGAAAACTTTATTAAATGTTTATTGAAGTTCCAGAGAGGTAGCAATCCGCGGGAATCCTCATACATTTTTATCAACTCGAATAGCAGGCAAAGATCGCCAACCTTAATTAATTACGTTCCTCCCTACCGGAAAATAACCTGGAATGAGATGAAATTAGTCCACAGTTACAGCAATCTTGATATCCAACGAATATTCTTGATATCCATGGTAAAAATCATTATCCATTATGCAAATATCTCCCTATCTGTCACTTTCTTTCGTTATTAATTCTGAAGCAGCCTATCGTTAGATTATTAAATTAGATTATTAAAGAATGTTTAATTATATTTTTTAAATTTATTTTCTTTTCTTCAAATATTTTATTTTAATGAATAAATTTAAATTTTGTTAATATATAATTTTGAGAAGTAATTTAGAGAAATTATTTTGTGAATATATTATAATGTGAATCATAAATGACGGTGAAATTGTATGCGCTGTAGGCGTTGAGTCACATTTAAGCTATAACGGAATTTCTCTAATTTAATTATAAAAGCTTTTGTATGAGAATGTTATTTATTTTATTTGTTTTTCAATTTTATACGATTTTGATGAAAATCAGTATTTTACAATTGTAAAATGGATGATGTATCGCTCTCATAAATTTGTTTTTAAGTTAATTATTGTAAAAATTATTGATTTTTCCCCAATTTTTAATTTTTATAGTCGAAATAACGACGATGTCCATCAAAAACGATTAAGAGAAATTATCCGTGGCATTTTTAACAAATTAAATCATTTAACCTTAATTTTTTTATTTATATTTATATTATTTATATTTATATATTGAGAGAAAATTTTCGACACTTCGTATATAACTTGGAATTAGAAGCGAAATCAATCATTATCAATTATATCAAGTGAAATAATTAAAGGTGGGAAACAAGTTTCTTGCATTGCGTAGACGTGATTGTTTTTTTCGGTATGATCTAAGGACGAGTTGAGTGGTTTCCCGCGGAAAGGGAATTTACAGTTAGCTCTTGCGTTTACGTTTACGGTAACCACAGCTCGAAACTTTTAAAATCTATCGATTGTCCGATCAAATTCACTCGAGTTAGAAACTTTAAACCGACGAATAAAACCGTCGATCGATCGCCGGTTTTGAACGTTAGAGAAAAATTCCAGTTGGTTAGAATTAACATCGTTGCTTCGTCAGAAGCGACATCTATTGCTTTCTCGACAATAGTATATCCAACTTGTAAAGAGAATAGTAACGAAGTAAAAGGAAAAAAGTATCAAAGTGTAAGTACGTGAACCTATCCTTGGACGTGTAGACCTGATGGCAAACACGGGAACCTTCTCAGTCGTGAAATTACTCAGTAAACATGCCGTGTCGTCTAAAGAACTTCTCTTTTTCAGTGTATTCGAGTTTTCTAGTAATTCTCTTATTTTTATCGATGTCGTTTTGTCTTGAAAACTTGAGATAAAATAAAAGAAGATAGATAGAATAAAATAATTTTTTTTCATTAAAATATCAAAATATTATATTTCTTTATAATAAATTATAAAACAAATAATAAATTTGATATTTTATAATTTAAATATTTTGATGTAAGATAATTTAACATAATATTTGAAGTTATAGAAATCAATAATAAAAATAAATAAACAATAAAATAGCGAAATATTTTAAATTCAGTCCTTTAATTTTTAATTAAAATTAGGAAAAAAATGTTTTACAGAAATCTATATATGAAATTAGTTAACTTATTTTTTCTAATAAAAACAACATCACAAAGAAAATGATAAAATTTTTCAAATGTTAATTAGGATATTCTAATTGAGAATAATTTGTTGCAAAAGGTTAATCGTAGGTAGACCATGCTTTCGTAAATCTTGTACCGTAAAATTGTTCAAGGACTATCCGACGACGTTACTGACTTAATATTAGTAATACATATGTATATTTCGAGATTTAAATTGTGATGAATCGCGTGAAAAGATTACGCTATGCTTTGTGTATTGCATATCTTTCTTAATGCAAGTGAACAATATCGTCGGAATGAAGGGCGCACGTTGTCGTCATCGAGTGAAAGGTGAATGCCAGCTCAATTTCATAGCGATGATAAAAAACATCCCAATTAACGAGATCTCGACGTTGAATCGTAAAGACATTTACGCGATCGACGAAATATATCACGAATTTTTCAATGCCAGATTATTTGATCGATATCGTATAAACGTGATGTAATTTTTGCTATCAAGATAATAGTAGCTTGAAGAAAATGCTTGACCAGCGACCTGAAACGAAGCGAGAATGAGAAACGGAAGACAATGCCTACGGTATTATATCGTTCTAAGATAAAATGATCTGCTTTGTTCAAGTGATGCATCAATGGTATTTCAGATGCATAATATGATGCATAATATGAGCTTTATGATTCATATATGTTGAATGCTCTTCTTTGGAAACCGAGAATGACCAATCAAAATATAGAAAGAAGAAAGAAGAAAGAGACTTTTGACCGCAATACGTATATTATATTTCATACACGTCATGTCGGTCTATAGGAAGAACAGGCTACATTGATAAATGCTCAATCGTATATTGACACATAAGGTGCATGTAAATTATAACCGCATATAATATTTTGGAATAAAGTTTGGACTTACGATATTTAATTATATTTAATTTATTATTGATATATTTCAGATTTTATCATCAATATTTTATAAATATTTAAAAAAAATTTATTTTTCATGAAATATTAAATTAGTTCTTAAATATTTATAAATATTCCATTGCGATAAAATTTGAAATTTCAAGTTGCAGAGATAATTTTGATACCAGAGAAAAAGATAAAAGATTCTCTTGATTCTCGATGTTTCAAATTCCGGATAAACTAGTTTTGCGACAAACGGCCAGACATCCCGCGCATATCTTTCACGCATTCTCTTCTCTCTTTTGAATGAGGTTAACAGCCGTTTCTCTGCCGGTAATTTCTGTCAAGTCTCGAAAGATCGAAAAATCATAGGAATTTTTTCATTATAATTTGATTTTTAGCAACAAATGTATCACCAAGAATCAATACAAATTCCTTTCGTAAGAAGATCGATTTCATTTAAAACTTAAAAACGAAATTACGCCAAGTTTCGATTGTTGCATGAAACAATATTTGAGAAGCTGAATTATCTTTGTCAAAGTTTCAGCGAAAATGTGATTAAACTCGGATTTCCTATGTATACAGACGCTGGTTTACCGCCGGTGTTTCGAGGAGAGATAATGTCGTATATCTACGGTTTTGTATGCAAAACCCTCTTCATTCTTTATCGGGATTTTATCTACGGTAAAATCGGGAAGCGTATCGCCGAGGACCGGTCTTGCAGTTACATTTAAGCTTGACAATAATAAACTTATTTTTCCGAAGAATTTCATTTTCATTTACATTCTTTTTTGAGAAATTTTTAAATTGAAGATTGTGCAGTAAAAAGCAAGTTTATTTGTTAACAATTATTATATGTAATATATCTAAAGAAAAAAATTTAAATCATATGGTATAAACTAAATAGAAATATCGATAAATGACATTATAGATTTTAAAATTTACTATTAAGATTCATCCAATAAGAATGCAAAGAATCTTACTATTTTATGCAATTAAAAATAAACAGATAATAATAAAAATAAACAAATAAACAGATTCTAACACATATCTTCTATATTTAATAAAAAACGATATTTGTTTTGTTTTTATTGTTTATTATTAATAAAAAGAAAGCATTTTTTAAAAATATTTTTATGATATGAAAGGACAATTAAAATAATTTTATAAATTTTTTTAATTTCTTTAAGTTTGTTGAAAATATAAATCTGTCTCTTTATTGCAAGATCAACTGTCTTTGTCTCCATCGAATAAAATTTCAAAGAACACAGTAAATAACGATCAATGAGGAACAACAGATAATTATGGAAAATTCAGGAAAAGTCTAAAATTTCCAAATAATATTAATAGTATATTTACTATTTATGATTTTTGTTCATAAAAATTAATTTCTATATATTCTATTTTTCTATTTCGAGAACTTCGATATTATTATATTAAGCATATATGATTGTTCAATCTTGACGATAATATGTAATTAACTTTTGAAAGGACGCGTTCGAACAATTGGAGTCGATTGAGCGGCCTTAATAAGTCCGGGTAGGTTATGCGGAAAATAATTTGTTCAAGCGACACGTGGCCATCGAAGAAAATTACTAACTGTGTTTTGAATGATTGTCGTCGTGTATACTTACACCGTACAACTCAATTTATGCTATTTGATACATAAACATAAACAGAGAATCATGTTCAGGCTATATTCATTTGTTTCGTTGCTTTCGATGCGTCACGATTACATTGAAAACTATCATCTTTCGACATTTTTAACGTTCTCCATGCGAGATAAAAATTATCGAGTTAGTTGTTCCGTATAAAGAACATATAACAGATAGGTTGTGAAATCTTGAGCTCGAAGATTTCTCGACAAATTTATCCATTACCACCACCAATTTTATCCAGTTTATAATAATAAGAAAAAAAAAACGATCGCAATTTTATTTGAACAATACCTTTTTTTAATCAGCACTCTCTTTCCGATAATTGCTTGCAAGCTCTTTCCGATAATCCAGGCCGAAAACTGACAAAATCCGTACTGACAGATTCCGTGGTTGTTTCCCACGAGCCAATAGCGCGGGAAGCTCGCGCTTATTGGCCGATTGACTTTTTTCTTCCTGCAAGACGTTGCTCAAAACCTTTCTTTAGTCGTAACTTTCTTCTTTTTCTCCTGGTTTATTTCAATGAAAAATTATCGATTCTTATACACCTTACACTGCGTCACCGTTTTCCCGTTAATCGCGTGTTTCGAATTTGTTTCGATTCTTGTTAACGTACTAGGACGAAATTGAGAGATAAAAAAGGAAGGGGAATAAGAATAATGAAGACGTATAGCGTCGTTTTGAGAGTTAATGTCTGATGCGATACATCAAACTTACTCTCTTTCTCTCCGCGCTGTTCTTACTTTCGTTGTCGCGTGAGTTGGCGTAAACGGGTATTTTGGAAATCGTTTCGAAACTTGAGACAAGGCCGAGTAACACACCAACGGGGCCCAGCGTGCGAACAGCAACTGAACCGAGAGACTCGTTGTGGGCCCCACTGCTCCCCGCCATGTTGCTTCGCCGAGTTTCAAGCGTGGGGGCGACTCTATCAGGTGCGTATAGTTGCCTTTGAAAATCAGCCACCACGATTCACCATGAATCGGTTGCATTGCTCTTCTTTTCTTTTCTTAACTATTTGCCTTCCGGGTGTGTTTATAGATATTATACAATATCTATTCTGATGTATAATCTATATTTTGTAATGTATATTTTGTAATATAAATAAAGGATAAGGAATTGTATAATAATAAATAATTATGAATATTTTTCAGTTATTCTTTTCTTACTGCTAATATTTGATTTTGAATAATTTTCGTTAAATATTTGACTTTAAAATATATTACGATATAATAGAATATTTAATAATAAATATTTATACAATTTATTATAAAAATATTATATAGATTTGATTTAATATTGCAATAAATGTGAATCCTCTTTTCTAGATTTTGAATATATCTTCATTCGAGTTTAAATTTTCAATTCATATCATATGTCTGTAAAGAGCAACCGTAACCACAGCATCTGAGAAGAGAGAGGAAGTGATATTTCTTTCTCTGTCTGTAGAGCTCAAGGTTTTCAGCTCAGTGAATACGCGGTATATAACCATACCGGGAACCTGTTCCCCCTGGCAGAGGAGACTTGGCTCTTTAAAGCTTCTCTTCTTGCGTCTTCCCCTTTCTCTTTGCTTCTCAAATTTTTGATTTTACAATAAAAATTACAGATTAAATTTTTAACAAATTTAATATATTTTTTCTAAAAAATTTATCAAAAATTTTTCTATTTTTTTCTCTATTATTTAATTCCATCGTAAAAATTATATTCTTTCAGATTAAAAAAATTATAAATAAATAAAATCGATAATATTATTCTATTTTAAACAATAACACTTGATTTTTAAATGAATGTAAAAAAAAGATTTGCACAATTCATTCAATAAATTTCTGATGTAATGTCGATACTGTTTACTAGTTTTGTTCGTGTATGCGTACGAGTAACGGTTCTACCAATGACCGCAGACAGGATTTCTTTCTTCGCATTTTCTTTTGACATCACTTACAGAATTCAATTTTGGTAGTTTCAAATACTTGATTATATCAAGTTAAATATGAACAAGAAATAAATTATTCAATATGTTTCATTTATTTAATTACCAGGTATTAGTAATGATTATTTACACAGTTTTCTTTTGAAAAATATATTGAGCAAACGACAATATTTATTATCCATCTCGTAGTAATTATTATTATTTCTAATAAGCATGCCTCTAGGCTCCATTTCGCATACATTGCCCTCTATGAATTTTTCTTTCTTATTTCTTCATAGTTTTATCTTTTTCTTTGTTTCTTCTTCTTTTGATGTTTTGCTTCCTTGTTGGGGTAACATGATGATACGGAATGAAACTCCAGGTCACATAACGTGTTCTTCTTTTCAGGGTTTCCCAATTCTTCGAATTCTCCAGTGATTAAATGTATCCATTACTGATTTTATCAAGAAACATTGACTGTTTTAAATATAAATCACAATCATCGGACACCATAAGAGTAATTGAATTTGTAAAATTATTTTTCGCTATATTTATATTTTATTATTTATTAGTTTCAAACTTTCGATTTAGATTTCTATTTACATAGCTGGTACTAATCTTAAAATAAATACAATTATCGGCAACTTTTTTTTTATTCAAGATATTCAGAGGTCATAAACTTTTGATATAATGCTCCGTATCAATTTTTCCAACTTTTTGATTTTATTCATAAACAATAAAGAAGCACAATTTGGAATGTATTGATTTTCAAAAAAAAAGATGATATTTCTCAAAGTACAAGTCTATTTGTCGAAGAAAGATTCTTGAAGGTTGGGAAACGCTGCCATTATTCTCCGTAAGGTAATAGTCTTTTTCTTTTTGCCTTCGTCTTGGCGTAGCACGGTGCTGGCGTTGTTCTACTCGGGCCCAGGGCTGTACGATGAGAGGTAGCGCATCGTGAAGGGGAAAAAGCGCTTAGGTAGGGGAAGTTCCATGGTATATACTCGGCTACCGACGTGCTGCTATCTTCGATGAAAGAAATTTAATGAATGACAATGATCGTCGAATTAATAAGCATATATATATATATATATATATATATATATATCAAATTAATGTTTTTTCTTTATTCTTTTTTTATAGGATAACATATATTATTTGAATTGTAACTTAAATTTATTATATATCATACAATTTCTTTTCTCTATATTGTGTTTGATTGACATAACGGTTTGACAAATACATATATGTATTCGAAATCACGAACAATCTTTCTTATTTAACAGCAGCAAACAATCTTTTTTTTTTTCGACATTAAACAAGTACATATGTATTATTGAAATTTATCTTATGATCATTGTAAAAGAGAACCAAAATAATTTAAAAAATATTATCTTCTTCTTGTTGTTAATATAGCACAAGATGAACAAAATTAGAACTTTAATGCTCGTTAGTGACGAAAAACTAAAAGGTTCGCGGCTAATCGCGCTTAATCGCGCGTCATTTGATCTAATTGAGATCGTGGAAGCTCAGGGATTTGGCCCTGACATCTATTACTACTACTACTATTACCATTACTTTCGTATCTTCTGCCAAAGAAGGCCGATGCCGCACGGAACTGCAACTGCACTCGGGAGCGCAGTCATGAGTCGGCACTGGTTTCCTTGTGGTGGAACTCGGTGCAAGTAATGTTTTATTGTGTGCGTGTATACCCTCGGGCAAACCAGACGCGCATTCGTCTTCCCACGAACCCTTCGCTATTCGTACGAGTCTCGTTACTCGTTCCGGGATCAGGAAACACTCCTATTAAGGCCGTTTTATACGGTCGCGAGAAACCGTGCTCTATACATAAGTTGTCAACGCAACTTCCATAGATTTTAGTCTATACAATACGAATAGTTCTATATCTTTTTTTTATCACTGCAAACGTATTGTATTATTATGAAAAATTTTTTTTCTTTTTCTAATCGAATGATAGACAATAATGATATTATACATAAAATTTAATAATAATTTTCTAAATTTAATAATTTTTTTTCTATGCTAAAAAATTAAAAGTAAATAATTAAAAATTTTTTAATTAATACTTTACTAAGATTTATTAAATTAACTTTATTTTAAATGAAATGAAATATAAAAGATAAAACAAAAAACAGTGCAAAGTGAACGAAGGATAATAATTGATTGTCAGTTTAAAGTAGAATCCACCAACTCGCAGCAATACTGACGTAATTATAACGTTTAAAGCTACCGAATGATTACTGAACTTTGTGAAATATATTTCATAACTGAAAAATTTACATCGGCAAAATTTCTCTCCGTTATTGTCGATACAAAATCCTTTCTTTTCCTCAATCATCAATTTTTCAAATTAATCCAAGAGAAGAGTAGGTCTTATTTAATCTAGACATTGTCTGAAATGTAGAATATTCTAAAATCATATTTTAAAATTCTCAGCAATTTTAATAATTTACATTGAAACTTTTGTGATGAGCGATTTAGGCTTTGCTTCATCATTTATTCATTTTTAAAAAAAGTTCAAAGACTAATGAAAAGTTTCGTATAATGAATTGTGTTTGATAGAATATTATGCTAAAAAAATATGGAAAGATAAAATTGAAAAATTTCGAAATTTAAATTTTTATATTTGTTACTTTTTTATTATTATTACTTTTATTTGTTACTTTCTTAAAAAAAAAATATATTTATTAGCCAAATGGTTGAATCTATCGATTAATTTCTTTTATTTAAAGTTTTTTTTTAAAATTATTATTACTTTTATAAATGATAAAATTTTGTTCTCTTTTTACAATTTTTGCACACAAAATCATTTTCTGCCTATTTATACCATTTGTCCTTATATAATAAAGGGCAAATAATTTTTTACATAAATAATTTGTTATCAACCTTTTTAACCATCGATATCCAGCTTAAGCATTACAGTCTGTTAATCTTTCATTATCACCATTCGCTTTTATTTATTTTGTATATTACGCAATCGATGGGTAAATCTATTCTTCAGATGAAAATTTACATCATTTTGTTAATATAAATTGAAGATATGTATTCATGTCTCGCGTGAACTTACGCTGACCGTTACGCGGCCAATGGCCGAATGAATTTGTCATCCAAAGGAATCTTTCTACACGATGAAGAGGAAGGAGCGAAAAGGAACTCGAGCTCGTCCTTTATGTTTCTCGAATAGGCGGTCGATTCTCGCGGTGAATCGAACGTCGTTGCTTCGAGAGAATATATCCGATATCTTTGGAATGGGACATAGGTCCGAACAACGCGGCGGACATTGGCTGTACCTGTCTCCACGCATCGAAGTTTGCCTGCTCACCTGCATTCCATTAACTCTGGTCTGAGAGGGATCTTTACTTTATATATTCAGGACAACGTCGATGGATCATATAAATATCCTATTTGATATATATCCATATATATATTTGGTAGAATAACTTTACCTGATATTACTATCAATTAATTGAATCAAGTAAAGAAAATATAATATTGATTATATTATTAGTGTTAAGTTTATTTAATATTATTTAAAAATAGTTCATCTCTTTCAGAATTAATATATTTCATTTATTACGATATATATAGATTTATTCAAAGTATACTTTTTTAAAAATTTTTATTCCGAGACATAACCTCTTTGGTAGGAAAATTAATATGATCTTATTTAACGAATGAGGGCGCAGATGCTACCGAATTAATAGAATCAGTAACGTACATAGAGAGCGGAAAAAAAATTCAAATAGTGATTCAAAACAAAATAAAAGTAATGCTCTCTCAAGTACTATTTCATTTTCTCGATTTGTCTAAAATTCATTCGGAACTCATAATATACGTGCTACGTACGAAACGTTAATTACCACTCAACAACTATGCTTCCTTTTAATTAGGAAATCTTTTTTTGTAGCATGGAAAAAGTTAATTGATTAGTCACGTGTCACAGCAATTTTCTATTTTGATACAATGGATAAAATATTGTAAAGTTTTTTC